AGCTCCCTTTGTGACAATAACATCAAGTATTTATTTTATATATCAAGCTGTACGACTTTAGACAATCTCATGCACATTTTTTCGAAAGTCTCCAGGTAACAGGGTCACTTTTTACACCACCGAAACACTGGCATGTTGACCCAGCTAAACCAAGCTATATAGCTAGGCTAGCTGTTTGCAGGGCTCTCAAGTCTCACGCATTCAGCGTGTGACACACGCATTCCCACCCGTTCACACGCTCACACGCCACACATTGTATTTCTCACGCATTTAAATGACCATGGTGATGTCCACAAGTTGCACCTCTTTAACTATGGAACAGGTAGGAATCAACTGAGTTCCTCCGAGAGTTCAGAAGCTGCGTGCCACGCGCAAGCCAATCAAATAAAGTATATCTACTGAACAGCCAATAAAAAAGCCGCATTGCTGTATCCGGGTAGATTTTGATATCTTACGGTTTGACTACAGATGAAGACAGACACTCGCCGTAATAAAGCAGGTTTTTATTAGGACGAGATAGACCCGATGATTACAGTAAGTCAGTAACCTACACATGCAGAGACCTCAACACCTCATGGCATATAAACTCATATGATAAACTAAAGCCCTATGCTATTGCTATTAACAGCTGTATTGACGGATTTAGCCTCTGTACAGCCATTTCCGGCCATTTCCCCCTCCACAAAAGCAGCATTTCTCATATATCTCAAATATAAGTTCTGATACTCATGACAGTGTAATGCTCATGTACCAAAGGATTAAGTATCTCCATGTTTGTGAAACCTATACTAAAGTACAATTCATCTAAATGCTCCACAGTGCTGATTTAACAACTCTCCTTCACAACAGGTAACTTTACGACTTAATACTTATATATTAATGACTTTATTCTCCCAAATAATAACTTTATTCTTTAAGATTTAAAAACGTTTTTTTTTTTCTAATTGTGCCCCTTACACTCCGTTGTATTTAAGAGATAATTATACTAATAATTATCTTCAATCACCCCCCCCCCCACAAGGAAATCTCACTCTAAGCTTAGTTCAAAACTTGAGAGCCCTGTGTTTGTTAGCTTAGCATGCTAAACCTTCTGCAAGTGAGTCTCTGCCTCTGGCTGCAGCAACAGCTGTGTGCTTGTGTGTGTGTGTGACTGTCCCGCTCGCTCAAGCTCGGCTGTCGGCTCGTGCGGTGGCCACGGAACTGTTTGTTGGACTCGTGAGTACAGATACCCCCCACAAGAGACTGCCTTATAGTTCATTTTATTCAGTACATCCCGTTGCGTTCACAAGTCGGTCGGCTAGTGACAGGCTGACAGCACCTCGCAGAGAGTGAATGCTTGTACTCAGTCAGTCTGAGAGTCGGTCAATCTCTCGGTCAGACCGAGCTGACTGAAAAGACAGAGACCGAGTCGGTCATAGGTCCCGGTCTTTCAGTCAACTCGGTCATTGGTCCCGGTCAGGGTGTGTGTAATGTTGAAACGGCACTCCTGCTCTGTGGAAATGTTTATGGACAGAGTTATCAAATAGGCCCATTCACTAAGGACATAACAAATTTATTTTATTTTATTTATGTTTTAATCTTTAATGAACTCCGGCTGATTGTGCTTAATGACAGGTCATGTTTGGGGTTTGTTTATCAATGATTTTAAGACAGACATTTGCTGCACCGCAGATCCACACTGACTCAAACTTAGTTTTGAATAACAACAACCTCTCCCACTCTGTAATTTATCTCCAAAGTAGGGAAACACTGATTTGACACAAAGACGTGATAGTCGTGGATAATGGGAAAAAAATACAGCAAACATCCAAAATTTTACTGATGTCACCCTGGCGGCCGGTTAAGTCTTTGTTATCAACATTCATCAGGAAAAAGAGAAAGTAACATGTAAGCATAACAAGATGACCTCGATGCCCCTATACTAGCTTAGTTCATTGCAGGAATGCTCAGTGGTGAAATTATTATTATATTTTTTTAACAATTATTTATTTGATTTTGCAAGTCAATGGGATATAGCACAATGCAAGCATGAGAGAAGAGAGAAAGTAATAATAAAAAGTAAAAATAATAATAATCAAAAATTAGAAATACATAACCAAACACTCGGATCAATAAGGGACAAAAGATGAATGCTGTTTCATAAAACAAAGAAATCAGAGAATCAAAGTACCAGTCACTGTTGTGTCATGTATCCTGTTTGAAATAACAACCCCCTGACTAAAGCATTTGTTGATCAGTTAGTCAATGGACAGTCAATCAGTCAAACAATAAATCTATCAAAATACAAAACACAGTTCTTTTCTAATATCCAGCTGGCATGTAATATACTGTATATTAGAATAGACTGGGGATATAAGTTATAACCTGAGACCATGTCGATAATGTCTCCAGTTTTGCACCATTAACCTTAGCAGTAGATCTTTCTCAGAGACAAATATCATAAAACAGAGCAACCCAGATTCTTTTCATGACAAAACTTGGTTCAAACCAGCTTTAAAGAATGGTCTTTTTTGCAGCTGTAGAGGCAGCAAGTATCATATGTTTCCGTATTTGTGGCAAAAAAACCAACATTTGGATTATAACCAAAAAGCCAAAAGGCTGGACAAAATGGAAGCTCTTTCTCCAACAAATCTGAAATTGTTTGAGCAACATAAGTCCAGAGAGTTTTCACTGTTACACAATGCCAAAACATATGCATGTAAGTTCCAATTTTTGAGTGGGGGCACCTATCACAGAGTTCGCTACTTGTCAGCTTCAGTCTAAATCTGCGTTCGGGAGTAAAGTAGACTATGGATAAATATGAAATGAATCAGCTGATGAGCAGGATTTTCAGATGAGGAGAAAACATTATTCCAGATCTTGGGCCAATCCAATTCAAAACCAAACTCATGAAGGTCTCCATCCCACTGATGTAACAGGTATAGAGTTAACGTTATATTTCAATAACCAGTCATAAAAAGAAGTATTAAACCCAGACTTTGAGGTAGAATAGAGTCGTTTTACAATGGGATGCAAGCCTAGAGGGCAGTCCCATTGAACTCCATATGTTTTTAAAGCAGTGCGGAGTTTTGGATAGAAAAACCAGGAGTAGCCTGGTAGTCAAGATCTTCGACACCCTGTCAGAGGCCCTCTGCTGGATTCTGCTGAATAACTGCAGGCTTCCATTTGTGCTCCACTTGCTTGATGATTTTCTGCTAATTGATTTTCCCAATGCCAAGCCTGACCATCCCAACAGCCATCGCCGCAGTAAACAAGCTCAAACTGCCTCTCCGCTAGGATGGTCTCTTGGTATTCTGGGGGGTTCTCATGGCCTGTCCTTGTAATATGTTTTGTGTCATATGATATGTGTTGTCTGTACTCGTGGTTGTGTTTGAATAAGACCTGTGAAAACAAATTTCCCCTTGGGGACAATAAAGATTATTATTATTATTATTATTATTATTATTATGCTATTTCCACAATCAAATCTACCTTCGCTACCTTAGGGGTGCCATTATCTGAGGAAAAAACTTCTGGTCCTCTCCAATCCATAGAATTCCTAGGTATCGTGCTGGATAGCAACCTAATGCAGGCTTTCCTACCCATTAATAAATTAACTCGTATCAGAGAAATTATGAAAATGCAATATTCTAAAACAATATCAAAAAGAGAACTGCTCTCCCTTCTCTGCGAGTTATCCCCCAGGGCCGCTCTTTCATATCCAGGCTTCTCGACATGTCAAAAACTGCCAGCCATTTAGCCGCGCCCATTACATTAGACGAAGGATGCAGATCAGAACTCCGATTCTGGTCCCTGTTACTCGAGAAATGGAATGGTGTTTCATTTTTTTACAATGATTACTCTGAGTCGTCCCTGAAAATCTGTTTGTTCACTGATGCAGCCCCTTCTATTGGTTTTGGGGGGGTTCTATAACAACCAGTGGTTTGCCGACAAATGGCCAAAAGAATTGTCGTCTTTGCCAAGCAACGTCACCTCTTCAGCCCTAATGGAAATATATCCAATAGTCATCGCATGCCTACTCTGGGGTAAACACTAGGCAAGGATACAAATTACCATTTTCTGTGACAATAAAGCAGCAGTCCATATCATTAACAAAGGGCGTTCCTCCATACCCTTTATTAATAGGTTTTTAAGACGTCTGACTTGGGTTTCAGTCCTAGGTAATTTTATCATTAGGTAATTTTATCATTAGAGCAGCTCACATTCCTGGTCTCGACAACAAGATTGCTGATGCCCTGTCTCGATTTGAAAATATGTCCAGAAGCAGCTCTCTCCAGCCTTCCCTGCCCTCCTTTCAATCAGACCGTTCTGGACTAGACTCTACCCTGCAATCATACATGCATTCAGCCTCCCGATACATGAGATCCGGACTAGCCCAATCAACATTAAAAGTGTATGACTCTGCATGGTCCTATTTCTCATCATTCTGTTTCACCTACTCTGTTCCTGTTTCCCATAAACATTTCTATTGTATGCGCTTTCTTGGTCCACTGTTTTGGGTCTCAGAAGACGCAACCTTCTTCTATCAAAGGCCTTTTAGCAGGAGTACAGTTCCACCTGCGGTGTTTGGATCCATCTGCCAGCAGCCTGCTTGGAAACCCTCCTGCTGAACGGATTTAAGAAAGAGAAACCAAAAGGCCAAGATATCTGTCTTCCTTTCACTGTACCTCTCTTGCACAAATTAATCATGCATTTGAAAACAAGGTTGTTTTGGGCCATATTCAGACTTACTTTTGGAAACAGTCTTTCTCACAGCTTTTTACGGTTTCCTTAGAGGTGGAGAATTTACTACTCGCACTAAATGTTTCCACCCTTCTCACGACCTTTCCATAGCTGACGTTACAATCCACAGTCAACATTTCAGTGTCTTTCTTAAACATTCCAAGACAGATAGAGACAGGAAAGGGACCCCAGTTCCCATTGCTCAAACTAATTCTCCTTTGTGTCCATTTGCTTCCATGACCCGCTATCTGAGAAGCCGTTCCCGAGCCAGCCAGCACGAGCCGCTGTTTGCCACGGAGAAAGGGGAACCCATGACCAAAGCCTACCCGCCTCCTCTGCCAGTCCTACGGACTTCCTCCAGATCACTACACGGCTCATTCATTTCGCATAGGTGCAGCTACAACTTCAGCTATGACAGCTTCTGTGTCCACCCTCAAAGCCATGGGCCGATGGTCGTCTGCCGCGTATGAACACTACCTGTGCCACTCCCACTTCCTGCCGCTGGCCTTTCACCCAAGCAAGCGTGGAGAACAGGGGGCCCCGAACGGAACCTTGCATGCGCTCCCTGCTACCGCCTTTCATGATGGCTCGTGATGGGGCTTCCACGCAAGGGGCAGGGAACCGGAACAGAATCACGCCTCCAAATTTAACTTTGCACAATAAATCTAAATTTTTTGACAAAGTGTACCTGACTGAAAAGGGCATTAAAAAGATTTTGACCAGTTAATTCTTTAGCCAGAGAGTGCCCCAAAGGCCTTGAAAAGACTTATTACATGGGAGATAGAAACAGACAATTCGGACAAATACAATAAAATGTGATCAGGGTAAAGAGAAATGGAGTGAGCTGTTCCTTTGATTGACATCAGTGGTGAAATTATGACAAAATTATGACAAAATTTGAATGTGCAACAAAACCCTAAAAACAAATTTGTGAGAGAAAAAAACCCCCAAAACTTTCATCTTCATCAAAAATGTTCTCAGACATAAGGGATTTTAGCACATAACTCTCTGGTGTTTGTTATGGGATAAAGGGTCATGAAGGAACATGTCGTGTAATGGCACAAAATCAACCCTGATGTGAGGAAAAGGAAAAAAATGACTTAAATTCATCAAGCCTAAAAAATGCTTGTGACCTATCCCCAGAAAGACTGAAGACACTCAGCCTTTTATGACTATTTGGATGCTTTTGAATCTGTTTTGAGTACATGTTATGAAAGATGTCTCCCTGTCAGAAACAGTAAACAGAAAAGTACATTTAGTCTGCTGTAAAAGAGTAAAGGCCAGGCTAATGTTAGACTCCAGACATGACTTATCACGCTAGTCACTGTATGTGTGTGTTTATGAGGCGGTGCCAGAGAGATTTAAGTAAGATATTAAGTGAAAGTTAGGAAGAGATGAGAAGAATTTTTTTTTTTTCCTCAGAGGGGAAATTCTAATATGAGCCAGGGTCAACCCATGATTAAGAGTTTAATGAATGAGTTAACAAAAAAGGCTGCAAACAGCTAAATGTCATTCATAGATGGGTAGATGGAGAAAAACACATAAAGGAGGCTAAAAAAAGCAAGTTTTGGGCTGAATGACAAATGTATATAACATAAAAAAGAGGACATATGAAATTACAGAAACCGACCGTGTGGTATGGCCTGTATGAAAATCAAGACACATATGTTGTCCTTCTAAACATGCCTGTCTTAATGTTTTACATTAGTTTTCCTTATTGAATTTAATGAATGAGAATTGTTTCACAGTAAGAATAGCTTTACATCAAAACCAACAGAGGTTGTGGTCTTTTGGTAAACAATGACAGCTGGTTCATACTTTGGGGCTGAGAGTTTTGGACTGGATTCACCTCTCAGCTCCAAGCTTCCTTTTTTCTTTTTTTCACTGTCAAACCACAGATGCTCACTCACAATCAATTCAGACTGATGCGCCAAGGGAGCTTTGAGCTTTCCAAGAAGACAGCTTGTTAGAAAATGAGAAAGAAGTCGGGTTTTATGAGGAACCAGAAGGATTTGAAAATACTGTCCAGTATGTACACAATGATGAAGATCGTCAACAGATGCAATGTTGAAAAAAGACAATTGCAGAATTCAAGATCATTCACACAGAGTCAAATGTTCTCATCAGACACACGTTCTTGGCAACAGAAAGCCAGCTGGAGTGAATAACAAGTCGTCCTCTATCGTATCAAGACTATCTCTCCACCAAGTTACATATTTCATATGGGACTGACCCACGGGGGTCAGGTGACGTGGATAATTCTTTAAGACAAACCACCTGTGAGGTGGCTGATCACTGCACAAAAGCACCTGTGCGCCACACTCTCACTGATCATTTTGATTCCACGAGAGCAGGTTGACGTGTGTTAGTGAGGAGACAGTCTTTGCCACTTACAGTGTGTAAGAGAGAGTGTGAAGTTGCCTCTCGGTGGCTGTTTTCTCCATAGACAAAGCTGTGTCAGGACTTCTGCTGAAACCAGAGCAGTGGAAATGGAGGTCCACTTTTTGCCGTGCTGTCGGCATTCAACGAGTTTTGCAGCCGGTCACTGCGAGCAACGTTACCTGGCGTATTACTCTGACAAGGAGTTAACGCTTCACAGGTACGGAAGCTAGCCGAACCCAGAGCGGGGGGAGGCATCCGCCCATTGCTGCTGTGCTATCGGCATGCGATTTTGTTTGTTTGTCCGCGGTCGCTCTGAGGAGCGGGGGCGTGCTTGCGATCAGTGTAGCAGGCAGGTCCTTCCGCTTGTATGAATTGTTTTATTTTACCAGCACGATCCTTAGAGATCTGTTACTATGTCTTCAGAGGAAAGCATAAACAGGCTGCTCAACCCACTGTTTCACAGCAGGCTAAACGCCTTAGGAGGGCGGAGTTTGCAGGTGGCTCTGTGAAGCCCCTTACTGCTCCCCCACTCAGGTCCTTTCTGAGTGATACAAGGACTGGGGCTGGGAGCCCGGTTGATGAACAGGAGGAGGCTGAAGAGGCGGATATAATAGGGGCTCACTCCTTAGACAGTGATCTCCCTTCAGGGCAATGGGAGGCTGGCCCAGAGTTAGAGGAGGGGGAGCGGGTTGGCGAGCTATGACAATTCAGGGGGCTTATTGAAAGGGTGGCCCAGGCACTGGGGGTTGACTCCACAATAGACCAGGCACCTGCCCCATCACGCTTTGATGATGGCCGTGATATACAGCCTGCCCCTTTTCTGGTGCCTCTTTTCTCAGACGTGGAGGGGTTGATGCAAGCTTTGTTGGCAAAACCCGCAGACCCACTTAAATTTTCCCAGTCTTGTAGGTGGTTTTCTGCCATGCAGGATAGGGAGAAGGTTGGTTGTGCGGCCATGCCACAATTGGACCAGGCCATTGCGGCTCTCATGTTCCCTTCCAGCTCGGTGTTAGGGAAAACTAGCTGCCCAACCAGGGAATGCAGGATGCTAGACGCTTTACTAGCTAAAGTGCATAGGACTATGGCAGTCCAGGCACAGCTGGCTAATACTGGGTCCATTTTGGCCCTACATCAGCGCATGCTGGCACGGGAGCTGGATGTCAGGCACAGTGCAGACCTTGTCTCTGAGCTGCAGCTTGTTTCATCTGTCATGACACATGAAAGAGCAGGCAGCAGCTCAGGGAAGGGTATAGCATCTCTTTGAGTGACTAGGCGCCAGTTGTGGCTATCCCAGTCTGAATTGCAACCAGAGGACCAGAGCAGTCTATTGAGGTTGCCGGTTGATCCATCGGCCATGTTTGATCCAGGAGCTAATGCGTCTCAATCGAGACAAGAGCAGGCTGGTGCCTTCACAGAGGATGCAGTTTCTGGGCCTAGTACTGGATTCCCAGACTACGCTGATGACACTGACACAGGAGAGGCAGCTGTCCCTGGAAGCTTGCCTCTCACACTTCAGGCTGGGGGCCAGAGTGACATGGAGGTTGTGTCTCCGCCTCCTGGGGCTCATGGCCATAACAACCCAGGCTGTTCCGTTGGCCCTTTTACACATGCGCCCGGTGCAGAGGTGTCTTTTGGGCCTAGGGCGACGAAGTCACCTGCAGTCCACTGGGCTCGTTACCAGACGGTTACGGTTAGCCCTCCATTGGAGGGACAATATTGGCAGGGGGAGTATACTGGGGCCAATGACGCATCGCCATCTGGTGGCCATAGATGCATCACTGACAGGTTGGGGAGCAGTGCTCAGAGGGAACGGTGTCAGCAGGTGCTGGCTTGGCCGTTATGCAGCACATCAACTTACTGGAGCTGAAGGCAGTCTACCTTGCCCTTCACCATTTCCTTCTATACATCCAGGGCCAACACATGCTGGTGAGGACAGACAGTGTGGCCGCAGCAGCTAACATCAACAGGCAGGGCGGCTTGGGTTCCCCTCGCCTCTGCAAACTGGCACACCGACTGTGGCTGTGGCATACCCAAGGTTTCAATCCCTGAGGGCAGTACACCTGCCAGGGTTGGACAATGTGGCAGCGGATCGATTGTCCAGGGGAGGGCCAGACCCAGGTGGGTGGAGACTACACCCCCAGGTGGTAGCGGAGCTTTGGCATCGTTACAGGCAAGCAATAATCGACCTGTTCGCATCGCGGGAATCCACCCACTGTCCCCTGTTCTTCTCTCTAGGGAGAGATGATCCTCCCCTCGGGGCAGATGCCATGGCTCATCCCTGGCCACGCGGCCTACTCTATGCCTTTCCCCTGTTCAGTCTTCTTCAATCCCTCCTGCAGAGAGTGCGGGTGGAGGAGGTGAGACTTGTCCTGGTGGCCCTGTTTTGGCCACACATGACTTGGTTTTCGGACATCCCGCCACTGTTGGATGGGACTCCGTGGGAACTCCCACTATGTCCGGACTTGCTGTCACAGACTCAGGGAACCCTGCTTCATCCCTTTGCCCATGGACTCAGGCTCTGGGCCTGGCCCCTGATGGGACCGAGCTGCTAGCAATGGGACTGTCACCATCGGTGATCCAGACGCTGCAGGGAGCACGTGCTCCATCGACAAGGGCGCTGTATGCGCATAGATGGAACGTCTTTGTGGCATGGTGCAGGGAACATCAAGCGAACCCCCTCACATGCTCAGACCCTGAGATTCTGCAGCTCTTGGATGCAGGGAAATCACTTTCCACGCTCAGAGGGATGGTGGCTGTGGTCAAGGCAGCTTGAGTAGGGAGATACAAGTTGTCTGAGGATGTGTCCAACCTGGTTTCCCACTTCCTTACAGGGGCTAAGAGACGTGTTGGCCGTTGTTGTAGGCCGCCTCTCCCACCCTGGGATTTGGAGCTGGTCCTACGGGTCCTGGAAAGGGCCCCGTTTGAGCCCCTGGCGTCAGTGGACATTAAATACTCAATTAATTTCCACTGCTATGCAGATGACACCCAGTTATACTTATCCATGAAGCTAGATGAAGCAAACCAGGTCACCAAATTAGAAGCTTGTCTCAAAGATATAAAATCCTGGATGACCAATAACTTTCTGATGCTCAACTCAGACAAAACTGAAGTTCTTGTCCTCGGTCCTAAACACCTTAGAGAGGCATTCTCTAATAATTTAGCTACGCTAGATGGCATCAGTCTGGCATCCAGCCCCACTGTGCGAAATCTGGGAGTTTTATTTAAACAGGATTTGGCCTTTAGCTCCCACATTCAACAAATCTCTAAGATAGCTTTTTTCCACCTGCACAATATCTCAAAAATTAGACCCATCCTGTCTCAGAGTGATGCAGAAAAACTAGTCCATGCCTTTGTTACCTCACGGCTGGACTACTGTAATGCTCTCTTACCAGGCTGCTCCAGGAAGTCTTTAAGGACTCTTCAGCTGGTCCAAAATGCAGCAGCTCGGGTATTGACTAGAACCAGAAGAAGGGAGCACATCTCTCCTGTCTTCTGCCTCTCTTCATTGGCTCCCTATTAAATCTAGAATTGAGTTTAACCGTACTTTCCGCCTAGACCGTTACGCTCACAGTCTGCAGGCCTGCTCATTGTACCAAATGTCTCTAAAAGTAGTATTGGAGGAAAAGCTTTCAGCTACCAGGCACCTCTCCTCTGGAATCATTTACCGCTCGAGGTTCGGGGGGCAGACACCCTCTCAACTTTCAAGAGTAGACTTAAAACGTTCCTCTTTGATAAAGCTTATAGTCGGGGCTGATTTGAACCAGCTCTTAGTTATGCTGTTACAGGTCTAGACTGCCAGGGTTATCTGGCACACTGAGCTGGAGTCTGTCTCTATCTCTCCTTTAGATCTTTATGTCCCATATAAGTCACTAACCAGATTTCTGTCTCTCTGAGTGTCTCTGAGCCTCTTAGCTTCCACTGGACTAATGTTGCAGACGGTCTGCTGCGGAACTGCCTGACCCCAGCTGCATCATCCCTGATTGTCCACCTCAGGCCCTGAGCTCCTCCATCTCTCAGGCTCCTCTGGACCATTGCTGCAGACACCCCCTGCCCCTTGGTTGCTCTGGACTAATGGCTGCTGCAGACCTGCCTGACTCTAGCTGCATCATCTATGATTGTCTGCCTCAGGCCCTGAGCTCCTTCTTCTCTTGGGTTCCTCTGGACTGTTACTGCAGACATGAACATCAGCCTCACTGACATTAATAACATAAAACTAGAGCTGACTACGATTAGGCCTGCTGACTGTAATCACATTTAATTCATTTAACATAGTCCATAATCACTCATATCCTAACCCTGTAAACTGAACTCATTTTGTTTCACCATTACATGAGCTGTTGTTGTTGTTGCTGTTGTTTCTGCTGTCCCCTGTCTCTCTCTCCCCCTCGTTCTCTACTCTCTCTCCCATATATATATATATATATATATATATATATATATATATATATATATATATATATACAATATATATATATATATACTGTATATATATATCTATCTATCTATATATATTATCACCAAATATGAGTGCATCAGTGGACTTCAGAGTCTGAGTGGTCAACCTCACTCCTGTTAAATCAACTTGAGAATATCTTGTTTTTTATGTACTAACACACACACACACACACACACACACACACACACACACAAAAAGAAAAAAAACTTGAATTCCTGTGCACATTATCATAAATTGTTTCCCTTTTTTAACCTTGCTGTGATGTAACTGCAGAAACTGCTGCATCAATGTGAACTTGAAGTGCACTTCCAGAGCACTCAAAGATCATCTCACAATCATGTAGGTCCAGCATCAATCCATGGTCCCTCACAGTACGGACTGGACAAAGGAAACCAGTCTGTGTGTATGTTCATCAGCTTGTCTGTGCCGCTCTTCATTTCTTTTTCTTGTAAAACATCATTAATGGGTCATTTTTACTATGTATATATTATTGGGAAAAAGAGGCTGCGAAATCAAATGGGTCAGGCTATATGCAGTAGTGTGTTAATCAGACAGGAAGCTTGAAGGTGCTGATCACTGGTGGTTTTATTGTTCCTGTGTAGGTATATATAAGCTAGAGGAAGAGCACAAAATCAAAACACGCTCCAGAGAGCAATATGAGCCATTAATGCTTATCTTTATTTTCCAGGACATGAAAAACACTAAAAAAACAATAAAGGTACCAACATCTTTGGTGTCGGTAAGAACAGAATTGTGGGGATGAAGTTATGACCTATAAAAGATGTTGTGTTTCTCTTGTTCTATGAGTTAATAAAGCTGTAAGAAAGACAACATAGAATGTACCTAAATTACAGGTCTCGAGTTGTTTTAACAGAGTGTGTCTGTCATTAAGTTTAAGCCACCTTGACATCAGACTGTGGCTTCTGTGTGGTACAGAACAGACTGAAAGTAACAGATGGACAGATGATGTATTTTAAGCAAAAATATCATCCAAGGCAAGTCACAGTAAGGTGATTAAAATAGTTTGAAATGTATGATCTTATGAGTAGACTACTAGAGCAAACTTTGATATCTACCCATCTCTTTTCTCCTGTCAGTGTCACTGAGACCATGCATCAAAGGTGTGCAGTACATACAACATGCAGGTGTGTGGTTCTCATGCATAAAATTATGTATAATTCTGGCAGTGCAACAGGTTCTTACTGCTTCTGGGAGAAGACTGGGGGAGCTGGGCAGCTCCTCATTGATCATACAACATTTTTTTAAATGGCATAGACATGTCCCAGATTAGTCCAATCTTTGTAAATAAAACAAAAAAGCCACTGAGAGACGACTGATGGCAAATAAAGTTGATGAAATGTTGTGACAGCGATTGCTTGATTCAAATCGTCGTGACTGAGTGTGAGCAAATCTGTTTTAATGAGGCTGAAAAGCTCCACCAGCGCTGCATAAAGGCCTGAGAATGATGCTGTGTTCATCTAAATTCTGGTGAGGGATTTCCCCATGTATTTGCTAGGCTGCCTTCTTTTAAACAGGGTTCCAGGGACTGATTTAAAATTGAAATCAGTGTTCCCAAGAAAGCCTGATTTACTCAACACACACACACACACACACACACACACACACACACACACACACACACACACACACACACACACACACACAATATGTACCACATTGCCACTACATATACATAATTGACGGAGTCATAATTCACACCTGTCTCTCATAACTCAGTGCACTTGTGGTGGTGCACAGGGATTTAAGCCCTCCAGGGTGTGCGCCTGTTTTTGTGCGAGTGCAAGAGGAGGAAGAGCAGAGTCTGAGAAACAGAGAAAGAGAGTGGTTTCGGATGGCGAATTTCATGGCACACAAAAAAAGATTTGATTGCATGTGTGCTGACAGTCAAGGTACAAATTATGCCACCAAGGAAAAGAAGCTGGGAAATGTGTGACAGGAAGAATTACATGCATTAGCATCAACACACAGTGAGAGTGGTGACTTTGAGGGTGATGTTTTGCAAGAGCATCTGCTCCAGATTCAAATGTTTCTTGTGGCGTGGAGGCCAACAGGTGCAACTCTCAAACACAAATCAGAGAAATGTCTGTTGGAGAAGCGGCTGGAGGAGGCTCACTTCTTATTTTTGAGGACTTCACTTATTTTAAGTCGAGTAATCCATTCGTGTCAATGAGGTTCAGAATAGCTTTTTTCATCGTTTACTCAATAGTTCTAGGGTTTGATGTTGTTTTTAAAGCAAAGTCAAGGTGAATTTTTTTATATGTTGACTTTGCTGATGGAAAATAAAAAGTTTGAAATGTACCCCTGTTTACCTCTTCACCTTAATAATGCTGCCTGTGGAAAAACACGTTTTATCTTTAGTGCAAAAACAAACAGGCAAAGTGAAGTTCTGCAAACACTTCAGATGAGTGGACTCTCCAAAGTGTTTAACATGATGAGTGCTGGGGCCAGAGTCTCTTAAAATGAACAAAGCTAAGCGGCAGAGTCTGGCCGGTCTGCAGAAAACTGCGAGTCCTGTTTCTACCAACAAAGCGAGAAACAGACCAGCCTCCACTGAGGTTAATACACCGAAGCAGCTAACAGGTCATCAAACTGGGCACTGGGCACCGTCAAGTCCCATAAGTGACAGTGAAGTTCATGGAGACACAGAAATAAGCTCAGCTGTGTTTCCCTCTCAGTAATCTAATGAGTCTGAACAAAACTGTGTTTGGTTTCCCAGAACATCCAGTCGATGAGATACCTGCAGTTTGTTTTTAACCCAACTGGATTAATCAAATAAAACATGAAAAACAAGACCTCACTGCTTTGCACTACAAAAGGAAGAATCTGCATCACATACAGTATTTCCACTGTTTATCTGGAAGAAAACTACATGACATGGATGTCCAAATCAAACAAACACGTTTATTTAATTTTTTATTAAAGCCATCATGGTCAAAAGAGCCCTTCTGGGGAAAAAAAAGTCAGTAGTAAGAAGAGCCTCTGGAAATTCATCCATTTTCTACCGCTTATGATTTTCTAATAGTAAATCCTGTTCAGTGTGTCAGAATGATAGAAAATTCTGCAACCATCCTAATGTTCTAGGCAGGCTTTATTTTCAATCTCCAGTAAACATGAAGGTCCAAAACCCTGAAATGAGGGCATTATGTGGGAATTATGTAAGGATGTCTCATCGTCAGAGTCTCTGCTGATCTGGTTTGTCATTAAAGAAAATATTATTTTAAATAAATAAAATTGATATTAACAATGCGCCACCCAGACTGCTTGGGGTCACAGGGAAAATCTATGGTTTCCAGAGGTACATGAAGTTATTTCCCTCACCCATCTCTAAAGCACCGTGCAGCTGAAACTCCATGCTCACAATACTTGTGGACAAAAATTGCAATGTGTGAGAATACCTTTCTCTTGAGTAACCCCTGCTCCAACTCCAGCTCGTTTCATATCAGAGGGGTCAAGCTGATGGGGATGGTTGCTGTTACCTTTGACTCTGTTTGTGGACATGAATGTGTGTTTAGTAATGATTACATTTAAGCCTTTGTTGTTGTTGTTGTTGTTGTTGTTGTGGCTTTTTCCCAGAGATAATTAGAGATTGGAAATTGTCTGAATCATAATTTAATGAAGAAATGTTTAGTGTGTCAAACTGATTCCCACAACCTATCTAACAGTGTGTCACACTCATTCACACATCCTCACTGTTCACACATGTCAGTGCCACCCTGCACAGCACAGTGAGGGTAATTACTGCCAAATGATTACACACAACTCACAGGGAGGGGCGCTCATTTATACCAGTCTGCACACATGCTGGTATTCACATCATGCCCACACAGTGACACAACACTGATTTACTGTAGTTTTTAAAACACTATCAAATACTTCAGCTTTGTTTGCTGGAGATTGTGTTCAAAGCTGGTCAGACTATTCACTCCAAATTTGTAATATAAGAAACAAACCAGTTAGTAAAGCTTTGATTTGACTGGTGAGGGAATCACTTAAACCTCATTGTTTTCCTCTGTCATGTAATTTACTTGAGTGTTGTGCAACAATGCCACTTCATTTTGTTCTTCCTATCTTCACTTGTCATCTTTAGAGGAGGCTGAAGTGCAGGTTTGGTTTTTCAGTACTTGACTGAAGATTGAACCTTGGAGCCTGAAGATTATTTTTCCAAGCAGTTTAGTCTAATCTAATAATGCCAGACTTTAAAGGGGTATTCCAGCGTAAATTTAAATTAGTGTCAAACGCACCGTTAACACTGAGATAGACACCCTGTCGAGAGATTAATGTTACCGACTG